GGGGCTGCCTGACCAGTTGCTCTCCTCCCTCCCTCCCTCTTAGATCGGCCAATACATCATGTCCCTCCCTCTTCATCTGGAGCCCTTCGTGGCCCAGGAAGACGCAGCGCTGGAACTCGCACTGCATGCTGGGAAGCTGCCCTTTCCTCCAGAGCCAGGTGGGAAAGTGCACGGGGGCCAGGAGGCCTTCCCTGCCCCAGGAAGCGGCCTTGGCCCAAAGAGGCAGCTGCAGGATGGCTGTCATGGGCAGCGCCCTAGTTTCTCTCTCGAAAGGAAGGAGCCCACTGCAGCTGCGGGACAATCGTCACTAGTGGCCCTCTTTCTCCCAGGTGATGAGGTCCCTGAGCTGGACAATATGGCGGACTACTGGCTAGGCTCCCTCGCCAGGGCCACGATGCAGACGTACTGCGAGGTCGTCCTACAGATCCCTGAGCTCACCCTGCACTCCACCAAGCAGCTGGCCACGGATATTGGTGAGGCAGAAGGATGTTTGGCGTGTGGGGGGAGGGAGATACCCAGGTTAGGCCCTGCATGTGGGTGGGGGTCCTGAGGTCACCCAGCCTCCTCCCCCCCCCCTCAGGATCCAGGTTCCGGCATTCCTACCATTAGGCCGCCTGGCTTCCAGTTGAGGATCTGCAGGGGAGGCAGGCGAGGGGCTCATTGGCCCCATGGCCGGGGGACTCCTCCTGTTCTGCCTGCCCTTCTGGATCTCAAAGCCAAGGGGTGCCTTTATAAAAAAGGGAGAGCAGAGGTCCCTTCAAGTATTTAAGAGCATTCTGGTGCCCACCCTGCCTTTTCAAACTAAGGACAGCCAGCGCCTTCAGTCTCTTTTCCTAGGGCTCCCCATCCAGTCCCTCAGTCCCCTGCCGGATGCGGTGCTGCTCTGGCCATTGTCCTGGGACTGCCCCTCTCTTGGCGATTTGGGAGCCGAGATGCGATGCTGCTCGTTTCTCTTGCAGATTACTTAATCAACGTGATGGATGCTTTGGGTCTGCAGCCTTCTAAGACCCTGCAGAACACAGTGACTCTCCTGAAGACCAAGCCGGAAGATTACAAGCAGACGGCCAGAAATTTTCCCCGCCGCCTGGCTAGCAAAATTGCCGCCATGAGGGCCCTGGATTATTGAGCTGTGGATTTCTCGGCCCAAGAGTGGGGCCCATTGCTGCACCTGGCCAGAAATGTGCCTGGCGCTCCCCTGCCCCCCTCCCCTGGTAGAATTCTCTCTTCCTTGTGAGAGAGGAAAGAGACCAGAAAAAAACTTGTGTACAGACAAGTTTTGTAAGTACTCAATAAATCTCTTTAAAAGGTGTCTCTGCCTGATAGCCGGTCAAAGAGACCATTTGCAGCCAGCCTGCCCCTCCTTGTGGAATTGGATCCGAGGGCAGGGAGAGTGGAGGGAGAGTCCTGACTGGGGGCAACCTCAGAATTGGGGTTCAACCAGGGTCCCGCGGAAGGCGGCTAAGAGTGGCTGGACTAAGGAACGGTTGTGGGGAAGGGGGCAGTTTCTTCTGTGCTGCTCATTTTCTGCTGGGGTTGGCCAGCCTCAGGGCACGAGGGCCCCTCGTCAAGGGTGGAGAGCCTGTGTGGCCTCCAAGTGATGCAAGGAACTGGTCCGCAGGTGCAGCCAGGAGGCTGAGTGAACTCTGTACAGCCAAGCTGTTGCACTCCTTTCTTCCTCCGGAGAAATCCAGCTTCGCCTGACGTGCAGCTCTGGGTTCTCCAAAGCCCCAATTAACTCTTGCCTGGGCTGAATCTGGGACACGACGACGGAAGGTTGGCCTCTGCCCTCCTGGCTGCTTGTCTGCAAGGAGGTGAAGCCAGCCCAGGCCAAGGGAAGGCCCCCTGTGAGCCCCCCCCCCCCCCCCCGTGGCCAGAAGAGGCAGTTTGGGGAAAGGGCTGAACCAGACATGGCCAGAGGCAGCCTTGGCCGGGGTGGAGGGATTTGGGGACAACAACCAGCTTGTGGGCTCAGAGCCAAGAAGAGAAAGGGCGTTGTCCTCCCCAGGTCCCCCTGGGGCTTCTCCAGGTGTAGCTTGGGCCTTCACTTCTTCAAGGCTGAACCTGGCGGGGGGAGCTGGCCCAGACCCCGCATTGTTCCCCAAAAGCCTCTTGCCCCAGGGGGGGTGGCCCCAGCGCTGGAGGAGACGCTGCCTGAGCTGGATCCGGTTGCCCAGAACGGCTCCCTTGCCCAGCCCTTGTTCCCATCCGCCAGGTTTATGAGCTTAGTCACAGCTCAGCTCTGGGGCGGGAGAGTGCGGTTGTCCTCGTCCCTGCAACCCCTCCTGGCTTCACTCCTGGGAGTGCAAGCGCCCGGCCTCCCAGGCTTCGGCACCAGCTTCCAGTGGCCCCGTTGGCGGATGCTGGCAATCAACCTGCAAGGGGGGGGGATGAGGCTCTTTGGCTGCTGATCATGACAGCTGTGCAGCAGCAGAAAGAGCCTCAACCCCCCCCCTTCTCAGTGTCTTCTCTGCACTGGCCAGTCCAGCCGCTTTAGCCCCCCAAAGCCATTTCGGTGCTTTCTATACACGAGGCCCCTTATTTGGGTTTTTTATTTCTGGTAAACTTACTTCTTTATTACCTTTATTTCTTTTATTTCTGCTTCCTTGCCTTTCCTCTAGGAGCTCAAGGCAATGCACAGAACCCTCCCTTCTCCAATTTTCCCCACTGAAACTTCTGTGGGGCACCTTGACAGAGAGGAGCTGGGCCAAAATCACTAGGGTGACTCTTCTATGTTTGGGGAGAGGTTTGTTTCTGGGCCGTTCTGTCCCCACCTGTCCTATCCTCAGCAGGGGGGACATCTGGCCTCCAAAGGTGATAGCACACCTGCAAGCAAGGTGGCTCTTCCAAAGCCCTGGCACTCGTGGCAGAGCAGCTGCCAGCCTGTGCTGCCGGGAGAGGAGAGCCTCGGGCTAGAGGGCAAAATGCTGTCATGTTGCCCAAGAAGGGGCACCTGGCCAGTCCCTTCTGGCCCGGCTTCCCAATCTCGCGAGCGAGAGGCAGTGCAGGATCCTCAGTCAGCAGGACAGAGGCTCCGAATCGTGCTGGAGGGAAGCTTCCTCAGAGAAGCTCTCTCGAGCAGAGTGTGTGCTTTGAGCTGTTCTGTGTATAGTATTTATGTGGTCCCTGGTTGTGTGTGGCTCTTTAACTGTTGATTGGGGTGTTGATAGCTGGCAGGCAGTGCCCGCATCTGCCCACTGCATTAACCACTGTCCAGCTCGGGACGGGGCCTTTACCAAACTCCATGCCAGCTGCCAGTCTGCCAAGAGGGTGGGCGTCATTTCACCTCCCCAGTTAAACCAAGCCTTTCCCTCCATTTCCTCCAGCTTTTTTTGTAGTTCTATGCCAGACGTGCTTCTTGAACTTGGAAGCAAGGCGATTTTGCCTTCCATACGGCAGAAGAGTCCTGCTTCCTGCAGAACGCAACAGCAACATGGCAGATTTCTGGCTCCATAGCAACAGTTGGTCTTTAGGACCGACCCACGTGGCAGCCGCCTTTGCAGGCCGCCCAGTGCCCTTCAGCCCAGAACATGGTGAGCAGCAGCAGTGCAACGGCCCAAGGGCTCTGCTGCGGGTGTGTGCGTGTATGCCTGACTGCAAGGACTGGAAAGGCAGCATTTTTGCCGGCACACTCACTCTGGAGGAGAACACGAGCATGCAGCATTTTAAGGGGCAATTTTTCGCCCCCAGCATCAAACAGAGTTGTTCTGAAAATTGTAGTGACCAGAGATGCAAAGCAGATCCAGGCCACCGATCCAGGAAGAGCTGTGATGACCAAAATGAAGGCCGGGGATTCCTGCATTCAGGTCCCCAGTAGGGACCCCGCAGCTGCTCGGGCTTCTGAGGGACCAGCATGCGAATTCCAACAGCCTCTGAACTGCTGCAGTCTGACCCACCAGGAATCTCCCCCCCCCCCGGAAATTGTTGAGCATAGGGCCCCCTTCTACGTCAAACACCACCCCAGAGTTCAACCATGCAGAGTGTTTCCTGAGTGTTCCTGGAGGCGACAGGGTGACCCCGCAGGCCTGCAATAATGTGGGAGAGCTGAGTCCATGCACGATACTCTGCTCCTTTCCTCTCTCTGGCTCTCCACCCTCCCACCATGGATGCCTCCCCCTCTGGGCACTGCTTGTGTCTGGGTCACTTGACTGCCTTTTCTGCACATTGTCCACCCTGGGGCATCTTGGTTTGGGTGCCTGTGACTGTACTCTGCCATGTGCCTCACATGTTGGCAAGGATGAAGAACGCTGGCATTCCCTTTGAGAGGGCATTTGGTGTGATTCTGGTCTCCCCTTTCTGGTTCGGATTCAGCCTAGGCTGTTGGACACCAAGCTGGCAGGGGACAACCTGCCGGCACGGCTTTTCCTCCTGCCCACCAGCATTGAGCAGCTGGCACATTTCTCCTCGACCCACGTGACTCCTTGTCCTGTGAGGAGAAGAGTTTAGTGCCCCCAAAATGAGGAAAGCGAGGGCAAGGAGAGGCGGAAAGGGGACAAAGGGAACATGATTTTCACCCAAACTGGGTTTATTCTGTGACAAAGCTTTGTAACTTTTATAACGGCCCATTTCTTTGCAGTGACATCAGCCCTTTTCTCACCTCCAATAAAGTCCCCCACGGGATGTCAGCCACCAGGTGCCTCTCCCATAAAGCAGCAGGTGCAGGTGCAGGTGGGGCCAAGAAGGCCTCTTTGGTTACACAACGCCTTGCCCTGGCTGCCCCCCCATGCCCGCTCCTCATTTAAAGATGTGCACCACTATCAAGCATTTCCCATGATTGGCGGTAAGCTCCCCTTTCAGAATTGTTACGCCAACCTCTCGACCTGCCAGATTTATACCCAGAAAGAAATGCATTGGCTGTAGCAGCAGATCAGGGCTCTCCAGCTGCTCCCCAAGTTTCTGATATGTTGAGCGGAACCAGAGGGGGGCTGTGCCATCCAAGAGGGAGGGGGAAGGATGCCCTGCAGGTGCCCAGAGGAGCAGAGAGGAAACGTGCCTTCCTGGCCTCACTCGCTCTTGGTGTCCGCCCCAGGAGCTTCTTCCTCATCGCTGTCTGGCACCAGCAGATCCACAGGGAGCACCCGAAGCGAGTCATACTTGGGGGGTGGAGTGCCGGGCTCAGAGCCAGCCCCTTGAGCATCTGGGGGCCTGTCGCCCAGGCTCCCAGCCGCTGCCTTCTCCTCCTCCTCCTCCCCACAGAAGCCCAGGTTGGTGTAGGCCTCCACTTTCTCGCAGATGGATGGGAGGGCATCAGGGGGCCTGGGGGCTGGCTTCCACTTCAGCCCCTTGCCCCAGGCGATCAGCTTCAGGACACTGATCCAGACAAAGTCAATGAGGATCTCCCCGAACTCAATGAGGCACAAGACGGAGCCCCCCATCCAGAAGCCAAACTGTCCACCAAGGCTGGAGAGGAGCCAGACAATCTGCCGTGGGAAGAGAGGCCGAGGTGAGGGCCGGCCAGCTCAGGCATCCCCAGAGCAGAGATGCAGGGATCAGCTTTGCAGCTTGGCCAAACCCTCCTGGCCAGAGAGGGGCTGGGGCTGGGCTGCTCTTATGGTCCCACACGAGGCCAACATGGAGGTGAGGATCCCTCACCAATCCGGCTCCTGAAGCCAAAGCCAGACTTCTAAAATTCTGAATTTCAGATACTGAAAATGGACTGTTTCTCCTCAGTTGCAAGGAGCTTTGAGCCATTTCCTGGAGTTTCCTCATTGCCTGCTAAGCAACCCAGTCACCCCACTGTCTCAGGTCGGCCTCTCTTAGTTTTCCCAGATGCTGACATTGTTCCTGCCACCTGCAAAGCAGGACATGAGTGCACACCCTCCTCCCACGTGACCTCCCACATCTGAGGAGGCACCTGCCATTGCGTTGCCCATCCCTGCTTATCAATGAACTCAGCCTCCTCTGTGGGGGACAAGCCTTCACAAGACCTCTGGGGAAGGAGGGAGCTGGACTCAGACCTCTTGCCATCTCAAAGGTGCCACTTACAGTTGTTGCTGCAGACTCTGAGATGGTGCGGTAGTTGTACTCCTGGAAGTAGATGCTGAGCTTGATGATTCCGTTTCTGTGACAGAAAAAGAAGGAATATTCAGGACTCCTCAAAGTGTGAGACAAGATCTCCTTTCTGTTTCTCCACACCCTTTCCAGCGGCTCGTGGTTTTGGGGTTTTCACAGAACAACAGACTCATAAGAGTTTGAAGGACCTCAGTGCAAGGTCTGCTCCAGCATCCCTCCCAGAGGACCATCCAATCTCTCATTGGCCCTTCAGCAATGAACCAGCTGCTTCGTGTGTGAGCCTGCTCCACGGCTGAGAGTTCATAGAATCAGGATCCTCCTGACATCCTAGAGCAGGGGTAGACAACCTTGGCTCTTTTATGACACGTGGACTTCAACTCCCAGAATTCCTGAGCCATGATAGCTCAGCTTGGAAACCTCTCCCTTTCCCCTCAGCATGGCTGGCTCAGGAATTCTGGGAATTGAAGTCCACGAGTCATAAAAGAGCCAAGGTTGCCTACCCCCGTCTTAGCCTGAGCCTCCTTCCATGTGGTTCTGGTTCGGTCACCCAGGACAATGCAGAGTAGGCCCACTCCCTCCTCTATGTGATCCTGCTTTGGATTCATATCTTGCCCTCAGGATGACCATGCCCATATCAAACCCACAGAGCCTGATCAAGACCCACGGAGTGAACCAATTACGTCCCGTGATCTGGACTCTTATGATCCTGGTAATGCAAACAGTATTTGCCCTTCCAGCACCTCCATCACGCTGCTGCTGCTGCTGCTGCTGGTGGTGGTTGAGAATGGCAGCCTGGTGCTTTCACGTGGACTACCAGCTCCCTCTCCCACGCCTTTCCTTTTTCCTAAACAGGTGCATGTTTACATGCTGTGCCATCCAGTCAGTCTTGACCACACTGATACTTTCTCTAGGAGGATCCATCCCTGACCTGTTCCTTCAGGTCTTTCAGCTTCTGAGTCTTCTCCCTCAAAGTTTACCTAGCTCTCCCAGCTTGTCTTCTGCAAATTTTTAAAATGTCTCCTCAGTTCCCTTAGTCAAGGATCAAAATGTTGAACGGCCAAGAACCGCGTAGCCAGCCCTTGAGACTTCCCTCCAGATTGGGGGACTCTTGGAGTGTAGCAATTCAGCCAAGATCTAACATCATCGTCATCTAGTCTCTATTTCATCACTTTTCAAAGGAGACCGTCATCAGATACTCTGCTGAAGGCTTTGCTGAGATCCAGTGCCTATGTGAGTGCCGGGCTCCTTCTCTCTCACTCCAGGGGGCTGAGCGATATCCAGCCGGCAGGTTGAAAGGTCTGGCTGGGCTGCTCAACTCTCAGAAGCCAAAGGGGCTCCGGTGGGCTTTCCTCTGCCCCTGCCAGCCCCCCCCTCACAGCAGAGCTCAGGGAGGACAGAACTAGAGCCACAGTTGGGCCAATGGGCTGAAACAAACAGGATGGAACTTCACGGGGTTTTGTATCAGAAGGTGAACTCTGGGGCAAAATGGGTTTGAGGAAAGTTCACGAGAAGAGGGAAGCTTGGACAAATACACACATAGCTTATTTTTGACGAAAGGTGTTTGGTTACTGCAGTGACTGGGGATTGTGGGATTTGGCCCTCTGCGCAGAGAGACAAAGGTGAGAGCAGTTGTTATAGGCAAGGAAGCAGAATTGGCTAGGCTTACTCCTCGTTGACCCACAAGGGAGCTGGGCTCCCACAGAGAGAGGACAGAAGCCCCGATATGCCTCCCAAGGGACGTTTCCCTTCGCTTTCTCCACTCAGCGATGGTGGTGACTCAAAGCCGCTCAGTCCACTTCAAGAGAATGCAAAGAATGAACTGGGTCCAACTCTCCCCACCCGTGGCCCTAGTGTGGGGCAGCTGCTCCTCCCAGCCTCTCACGCCACCCAGGAGCTGCAAGCAATGCTTCCTACCGCATCGGAGTCAATGAGGGACACACACTGACGCACCTGTCCAGGGTCACTTTGGTCGACGTGTCTCTTTCGTAAGATAAAATATGGAAAATCCAGTCCTAGCAAGAGGAAAGCAAGGGACACAAGCAGGTCACGGCAGGTGACAGATGCTCTCACGGGGACCAAGAAGTGAGAATTTTCTGCTTGAATATCTTTTTTTACTTCCACTAACTTTTAGAATTTAAACTACTGAACATGGGTCCCCTGACTGACAGAGTCAGAAGGCCCCCTGAAGGTGCTGCTGAGCCCCCCCTCAGAGAAGAGTCAAGATGGCTGCCCAGCCTCCCTTGCCCGGCCCTTGGAGGGGCAGGTGAGGAGCCGGCTGCAGGCAGGACTCACCTCTGAAGCTTCGGAGGGCCAGTCCGCCATGGAAATGGTCATCTTGTACTGGGTGTTGCTGCAGGAAGAGATAAAAGATCAGGCCTTTCTCTCAGCCCCCCCCCCAGCCCCCACTTGACCGCTCAACCGCTCTTACTTGCAGGTCTCCTTGCAAGATTGGATGCACGTCTGCCGATGCTCCTGGCTGGTGCGCAGGATGGAGTAGCAGTAGGCTGTAGGGAGGGAAAAGCCCGTCTTGGCACAAGGCTCTCGGCTGTTAATCTGAGCTTAAATGTTACCTTTAATTCTGAAGGAGGAATGCCTCGAACCAAAGTTTTGCCTAAGGATTAAGATGTGGGTCTCTTTCTATTGGGAGCAGCACACCTGAAGGGGGCTTGGCTGGCATTAGCTGTGCTTTCAGGTCCGCTCCACCCCCAGCCAAGAGCCAGCCAGGCGAGAAACCTCCGGCAACTCCACGACTCCATTCTCTTGTTGGACCCATACGGCTGGGGGGCAGCTCCACTGGGGGGGGCATACCCTCCATTTCCTCACCCCAGTCGGGATAATCCTCGTTGTTACAGTAATAGGCCCCTTCGGGCAGCGGGTAGGAGTAGTGGGCACACTGGCAGATCTTCACCATCTTGGCTTGGAAGCAGGAGCGCAGGCAGGCCTGGAAGAGGACGGGGTCCTGCTGGCTGTGTGCTCCTCAAGAGCAGGGCCCAGCTCCAGCCACTGGGCGCTACCACCACCCCCTTGTCGGTTCTTAGCCGAATTCCCCCAAGAGGCCCCCAAAGAGGGGCCACAAGAGCTCTTGGGAATGTCACCATCTCAGCCCTCCCCTGGACTGGCACTGAGAGAGGGTCCTTGTCTGGGGGGGGGGCAGCAGCATTGCTCACCTGGATGGAGTATATGGTTTTGTACTGGCTTCTGAAGGGGCCCATCTTGCTGCCAGGGTGGGTGCAGTTGGCACAGGCCTCCATCTCCTTGGCCTTGGAAGAGGAAACATCAGTGGCCCTCCCCAGATCTGGAGAACAGCCCTTTCCAACAGGGCTGCCTCCCCCAGGGCTCTTCACAGGGGGCAGGGCAGAGGAGGGGAGCCCGGGGACGAAAGACCCTCTCGTCCGCAAACGCTCTCCCCCAGCTGCAAAGGGCGACTCCTTCCAGAGGTCTGAGCTGGTCTCTGGCAGGAATCAGGCCAAGGGCCACAATAAGTGGCCAGCCGGTATTTCCTTCTCCCCCCACCCGTTTGGCTCTGGCTAGAGAGAGGCCCCACCCCTCCAGGAGGGAGGCTGCCAGTGCAAAGTGTTCCTGCATGGCAGATTTTTCTAGGAAAAAGCACAAAGGGTTATAAAGCAGGAGTGCTTGTGCAACAAAAGGCTTATCTGGAACCACCCAGCAACCAGGAAAAAAGGGGCCACCCAGCACACCCAGAGACGGGGAAGCGCCCTTGTTCCCTCTCAAGGACACGGCGGCCTTGAGGAGTTTGGAAACTTCCTCAGCAGTTTCGGGAGGAGACTGAGGCCGATTCAGAAACCGACGACCCTTTTGCTCTTTTGGGTGGGGGTCCTCCTCCTCCTCCTCCTCCTCCTGCTGAACCAGGGCAGCTCCATTCTTTCTGAGCAGCCCCACAGCCCAGCCTGGGAGGGCCTCCCTGGGCCCAAAAGACTCGAGGGCTCGGCTTTCAAGAGGTTGCAGCTGCTCTGCACCTGGGGGGGGAGGGCGGGGGGAGGCCCCAAGGTGGCTGAAGCGCTCGCTCAGAGTGCTCACACAGAGCAGGGAGAGAAGGCTTTGCCCTCTCCTTCATAAGGGGAGCCCAAAGCTCCCCCCCCACAGAATCACAGATACAGGCACCCTGGATTCCCCACACTTTGCTCGGTCTGGCAGAAGCACCGTCCACCGCCTGTTCCTTGCGCTCAGCTCCTGAGCATCGGCCCCAGCAGGGTGGCTCACTTCCTGTGATGGAGCCCAGCTGACCACCCTGGGGCTCACAAGAACCGTTTCCCAGGCCGGGGAGCGCAGGGGGAAAGCTCTCTCTTCCTGGTCCCCCTCCCTCAGCATCCGTCAGGAGCCGAGGCAGCCACAGGCCACATTGCTCTGTCCAAGCAGGGGGCGGGGGACGAAGCTCCTTCTCAGAGCTGGGGAGGCCGCTGTGTCATGTCCAGCAGACGCACCCCAGGAGTCCCACCCATCTCTGTGGGTTTTCCAAGGGGGCTTCAGATACAGCTGATGCAGAAGCCTTCAGAGACCACTCCCAGCACTCGGCTTCCTGCTCTAACCACAGGCCAACTCAAGGTTCAGAGGGGAGCGAGTCTCCGGCCTCTTCAGGACCCCCAGCTCAGGACCTATTGGAGGGCCATTCACTGAATGCAGGCCGGGCCGGGAGGTGAGCCCCCCCCCGGGCTGCCCCTTTTCTCTTGATGGGAAAAAGGCACTAAGGGCCCAGGACTGCAGCGCAAGGCCACAGAAGCTCTGGCCATAAAGACCAGCCAAGGGGGCTGTGGGCAAGGGACCCTCCCTTCGCACCCGCAACAGATCAACATCCCAAAGTACTCATCCTCTGGCCATCCTGCAGAGTCTCACAGCGACATGAAAGGGGGCCCCCCTTCCAAAAAACCAGGGACCCCAACCAGAAAACCCCATCACCTGCGTAGTAGCGTAGTCCTCGTAGAGGTTCCTCACTGGAATGTCGGACCCGTTGAGGGTGCAGTCACTGTAGGGAGAGCCCATCCGCTCCAGTTCATCCTAGGAAGAAAAGCCCGAAGAGGTGGCGACAGTTGCTTCTGGCATCCTGCACGGACGGCATTCCCCCCAAACCGGGCCTCCCTGTCCCCGTTCACCTCTCCGGGGAGTGCAGACCATGCAGAGGTCGAAGTCCTCCGAAGGGCCTTCTCGGGAACCCTGCACACTCACCCCGAGAAGGGGAAAGCAACCCTCCTGATGCAGAAGACCCCCCAGGTTCCCTCCCCACCCTGGCTGGGTCCCAGCTCTCTTCAGGCAGTCAGCCCGGAGCGGCCCACCTACCACCAGGACACCAATGGAGGTCTCAGTCCCTGACATGGCGTAGATGCCCTGATCCTTCAGGAAAGGGAAGCTCCTCTGCTCGTGCAGCATCAGCCGGGCTCCGGCCGTGGCGGTGAGGAAGGGGATGTAGTCCTTCTGGCTGATATCCAGGATCAGCTTCAGCCCTGTAGAGGCAAAGCCCCACAGTCATCAGCCGGGGGGTGGTGGAGGTCCTGGGAGAGAAAGGGGGTGCAGAAACAGGGGTGCAGCCTGTCTTCACTCTGTCAGGGATCTTGTCTTGGCAGCAGGAGGGCTGGGGGGAAATCCAATGGGCACCTCTGCCCAAAGGGCTGGGGATTGGGCCACTTTGCCACACCCTGGAGAAGGGCAGAGCACAAGCTTGGGAGGCCTGGCACCCACACTTGGCTGACGGGCCTGGCCAGTGCCTCTGAGCCCGCAACAGAGTGCTTCTTTTGCTGCTCCGGTTTGCTTCGGGCTAGATGTGCCCAGCCTTTGGAAGGGGGCTTGGCATCGACACCCACATCAATTCAGCCTGGATGAGCAATGCCAACCTAAGGATAGTTTTCCCTCTATCACCAGAGCTACAACTGGCCCTGATCATCACAGCTGCAGTGCAGGACTCCGAGGCACTTTCTCCCTTTCTCGGGACCAAATCTATCTCAGCTCTACAGGACCCTCCCCCCACCTCCAGCTGGAGGCCAGCCAGGCCTTGAGACCTTCCCCCAAGGGCTGTCGGACCCTGGGACTCTCCACTCCCCCAGGTACCCACCAAACTCTGCCCCCGGATTGGAGGAGACGAGGGGCTCCTTCTCCACCCCCCAGTTGAAGACGTAGCAGTTGCCGTGGTCCGGGTGGTAGAGGTGGGTGAAGTTTCTGCGGGAAGCCAAGCAGTAAAGAGATTATTCTCACAGGGAGAGTTGTGGGGGTCCCAGCACACCTCAGACTGGCTGGACCAGCCCTTCATCTCTCTGGTGCTGCCCTTGGGGGTCTTCCAGGGAAACTCTCCACCAAACCCTGAGCTGCACTGAGAAATTAGAAAATTCAGATCAAGCCTAGTGTTTCCTTCCAATTTGACTACCCAGGGAAGGTTATTCACACACTGGCCACATTCTGCGAGCATCAAGGTGCCTTCTGGCGTCACCCAAAACCGGACAGCCAGCAAATCACTTGCCACAGGTTTCTATGGAAACAAGCTGTCCTCCTTCCACGCTTGCCAGCCACCTGGGAGTCCCAGACATCCAGCCTTTGGAGGAGGCCCTGAGCCAGGAAGAGCTAGGAAGAGTCAGCAGTGCTCGGATTAACTGAGCCTGGCGTGTGGACCGTGTGAAGCCAAGCCTCAGGTCTCACTGATCAGAGCCCTGGTTTTGACCTCCAGAAGGAAGGGCGCCTCCGAAGCTCCCCTCTTACACGTTCAGTTTCTCTGCAACTGTCCAGCCTACCTCACAGGGTTATTGCTATGGTGAAAAGGGGAGGGAGGATATAACTCCAATAAATTCATTGACACAATGAATGTTCTGTCCTATTGCTCAATGCTTGTTTCCAGAAAAAAAATGGGCCCAGCCGGTTCTAAGCAAGACAGCCCTTTTGGCCAGAGACTTTCCAAGCAGCTGACGAGGCTCCTGGCATCTCCAGAAGGCAAAGGGGGGGGACGCTGCCCTGAGCCCTGAACGACTTGTGGGGATGAGCAACACAGGGTGGCAGCCGCTGGGGATCAGCAAACTATGGACTGAGTGCAAACCAAATAAAGGGTTTGCTGGCAGGTGGCTGCGTGCCGAGATGTGTCAATCAAAATAGAGCTGGAAGGGATCTTGGAGGTCTTCTAGTCCAGCCTCCTGCTCAAGCAAACCATATATCATTTCAGACAACTGGCTGTCCAATCCCTTCTTAAAAACCTCGAGTGATGAAGCACCCACAATGTCTGAAGGCAAGCTATTCTACTGGTTAATTGTCCTCGCTCTTAGGAAGTTTCTCCTTAATTCCAGATTGCTTCTCTCCTTAATTAGTTTCCACCCATTGTTTCTTGTCTTGCCTTCTGGTGCTTTGGAAGATAAACTGACCCCCTCTTCTTTGTGACAGACTCTCAAATACTGGAATACTGTTATCATGTCCCCCCTAATTCTTCTTTTCTGTAGATTGGCCATTCCCAAATCATGTCAAGTGATCATCCACTAGGACTCCAAGGCCCTTCTCACAGTTACTGTTTTAGACTAGAGCATAATCTGTACTTGTACCTTTGGTTTTTCCTCCTAGATATAAAACTTTGCTTTTCTCCACATTAAATTTCGTATCGTTGGATTGGGCCCGTTGTTCAAGTCTGCAAAGATCGCTTTGGAACCTGAGCTTGTCTTCTGGGCTATTGGCTATTCCTGCCAGCTGAGTATTATCTGCAAATTTGATGAGTTCCCTTTCTATTCCCTCATCTAAGTCGTTGATGAAGATATTGAAGAGTACTGGGCCTAAGGCGGAGCCTTGTGGTGCCCCACTGCTTACTTCCCTCCATGTGGATGTAGTGCCATTGAGGACTACTTGCTGAGTACAGTTTGTCAGCCAGTTACAAATCCATATGATGGTGATGTTGTCTATTTCACATTTTTGTAGCTTACCAAGAAATAGGTTGTGGTCTACTTTGTTGAATGCCTTGATGAAGTCTAAGTATACTATGTCCACAGCATTTCACCACTTTATTAATTTAGTCATTTTGTCAAAGAATGGAATATGATTAGTTTGGCATGATCTGTTTTTAACATACCCCTGCTGGCTACTAGTTATAACTTTATTTGTTTCTAGATTTTCACAGATCTGTTTTTTGATTATTTTTTCCAGTATCTTCCCAGATATTGAAGTTAGGCTGGTTAGTCTGTAGTTTCCCGGATCTGGTTTTTGGTTTTTTTTGAAGATGGGAAACACACCAGCTCTTTTTCCATCCTCTGGTAGGGTAGATCTGGTTTTCAACCGAAAAACCAAACGGTTTGGTGAGGAGGGTCAGCTGTGTCTCTTCAAACAGGAGTGTAAAATGTTGGCTGATTGATCGCTCCAGGCAAGGCAATGGCCGAAAGGACAGCAGCTGCCCTCCGAGCAGAGTCGGCGGGCTCAAGTGCCACAGAGTGGCAGCCAAGACCCAGAGAGTTTCTGCAAGGATCCAGGAGACGGCCAGGGAAGGGCCACAGGCAGCGCACCAGAAAAGCAAGTTGAGTTCAGCCTCACTGTGGCTTCGTCAGGCCAACCTCCGCCATACCTTCACAGGGAAGCCTGCCGAGGGAGGGAGGGAGGGATGTCTGCTCACCCCAAAGATTTCTGGGTACCCAAAGAACAAGCCTCTTGGCCAGGAGCAGCTCCGGAAACTGAGAGACCATCCTGCCTTTCCTTGGGGTGGAGAGCACCCAAAGCCTCGTCTGGCCTGGGGAAGCCCCCTTGCTGCCCTTGCGCAGGAGGGCAGTCTTCCCTGCCTCATTGGTTGTGGCTTTAGCCAGGCTGGCTTAAGCTTCTCCGGATCTGGGACCGGAGCTTTTGCAAAATCTTATTTCAGTACACAGGATCTTATTTCTCAAAGGGTAATCCACCCTCCCTGACCGAACTGGACTGGGCTAGAAAGGGAATTAAGGCAGCAGGAAGTGGAGGAAGAGTTGACAAGACGCTTAGCCCAAAGGCCGAGAAGGCAACACCCTCATCCCCCACCCTGGACTGGGACCACGGCTTGCGTCACCAAAGGGAGTGTCTCTGCAGACCACACACACCCATTGTGGCTTGTGGTTGTCACCACACTTGATAGAGCCAAGCGCACTCATTTCCTGTTGCATCTCTCACTCAACCCTCCGTCATCTCCTTACGATTCCTCTCCTACCGATGAGATCTCTGCGGGATCAGATCAGAATCTGCAAATGGGGAGCAACCAACTTGCTTGTGGGATGGTTTATGGGAAGCACTAGATCTCTGCCTTTTTCTTGGTTCATCCCAGGCTGATTTTTATATCCTGGTTTGTTCTGCAGGCCGCTGAACATAGGTTCACACAGAACACTAATAGAATAGAATAGAATAGAATAGAATAATGGAATGAAGTAGAAGAACAGAATAGAATAGAATAGAATAGAATAGAATAGAATAGAATAGAATAGAATAGAATAGAATAATAGATGACTGGACTGGACTGGACTGGACTGGACTGGAATAGAATAGAATAGAATAGAATAGAATAGAATAGAATAGAATAGAATAGAATAGAATGGAATGGAATAGAATAGAAGGGACCTTGGAGGTCTTCTAGTCCAGCCCCCTGCTCAAGCAGGAGAACCTATACCATCTCAGACAGACTCGTACAAGGCTCTACAATTAAAGACGGAACTGATCAAAATGCTAAGGAAATTCTCCTGCACACATACCTGTGATTGCAAGGCTCAGCTCCATACAGACATGCCAAGATCATGTCCTCTGCCTGGTAGCCCATTTCGATCCTTTTGCTCAATGGCACTTTGGACAAGATGCTGGTAGACTGCAGGATGTACCACTCGCTCACCGCCTGGGCCGCGCTGGTGAACTTCCGGTAGAAGCAGTGGGGGGTGAGGTGTGTGCACTGAGGATGCAACCAGGAGGGAAGGGAGAACATGACTGGAAGGGAAGCCGAGCAGCCGTGAGCAGCACTGGCCTTTTCAGGTACATAAGCAGATTGCAGGTGGGCTGGCCCAGAAATTAGGAGCTCTTTCCAGCTGAGCAAGTGACCTGATGGGGTCTCTTCAATACCTTCTAAATAGACCCCCACCATCTGGCCCACTTACCAGCAGAGCTGCCAGAGGCAACGTCTAGCCAGAAGCTCAGAGCTGCCGGCACCACCCTGTGGGGGAGCTGCCCTGCGGGTGTGCCATCAGGCAGGGCTGCCTGGGGAGGGGGTGGCGCACTGGCGGGCCCGGGAGCAGGGGATGAGTTCCTCATCTGCGGGGCACAGGGGAAATCCTCCTCCTGCTCCCCTGCTTACCAGTTTCAGAGCCAGCTTGTACCTCCTCGCTTCCGGGTTGCCAAAAGAGGAGTAGTTGTGGTGCCCTCCCAGGCCAAGAGAGCCGTTCCCAAGAATGTCACGGACGACCGGATGAGCCGCGTCACTGTCGTCAATCAGGACCAGGGGGATCTGGTTCCAGAGCTGCAAGTTGAGCTTCTCGCTTAGATTCACTGCAGGGCTCGCTGAGGCATTCTCCTGAAGAGGCTGCAGGATCCTTTCAAGGGCTGCCTCAGTGAGCACATCCAAATCTTTCAGGTAGGGCTTCACCTTAGAATACCTGAGACATGGGCCAAAGGAAGTTCACGCCAGGTTTGATGATCACAAGGGGAAAATGCAAAGAGGATCCTGTGCAACCACACACACATCTCCAAACAATAACTGGGCACCAGGCAAACCAAGGGCCATGTCGAAATCCTAAGACGCCATCCGGCTTGCCTCCTTCATAGAGGGAGGCTCCCTACTTCTGAGTTTCTCCAGCATCCGCAAGCTAACCCGTCAGCACCTCCCGCCCAGTACCTTCTCTGCTGGGTCAAGAGCCTGGCTCTCGCCACGGGCACCAACTGTCCTGCAATTTGTGTTCTTCGGGCCAAATCAAGCTTTTTACTGTGGACAGCAGCCTGTGTGTGTGTGTGTGTGTGTGTGTGTGTGTGTGTGTGTGTGCATTCATGTCCTCAGTCAAAACCACTGGGTTGGCCTTCTGGCTCATGGCAGCCTAGATGGAATCCCACCACATTTTAACAGCAGTATCAGGTACAACTGATGAATCCCAGGTTGTCCAGAGGCCCTCCCAATACCGGTCGGGATCCCTGCAGAGGGAACTCACCGGAAGGGACTTGCATTGCAGATGGTAACAGCGGGGAAGGTCAAGGTCTTGAAGCCGATGGCCAGAGAGGCTGTAACATTGTAGGACAGGTAGGTGTTGATGAGGATTCCCCACTGCCAGAACACCAGCGAGGCGAACAGCAGAGTTAGGAAGAACCAGATCAGTTTCTTCTTCGGACCCTCACAAATGATGCGCTTGGGCCCATGGGTGTTGGTGTTGTCGCAGTACCAGACCAGCAGCTCCTGGTAGGTGTATCCAGGGCCCTTTTGGAGGCGATGGAGAGCCTTCACAAAGTACTTCTTCAGAGTCATTGGAGAAGCTTTTGAAGAACAACAGAAAAAGTCTGCAACATAAATGGAATAAGAAAAATGCCCAATTTCTCATTGGTTGGAATAAGCAGCAGGTTGAGAATAAGAAGCAACGGGGGAGACAGCGGCAGGCAGGGTGGCAGCGGCAGTGGTACCCCTCACAATCTTAGATGATGCTAGAACAGAGCCCTGAATATGGGAGCAGACAGGGAGAACCTGGAACACGAACCCAGGAGAACAAACATGCCATCACGGGCATTACTGGAACCTGATGGCACCCTTGGCAGAATTAGGTTCCCAACAGATATTGGGACAGTTGAACTCCCTCCTCCCACTCCATAATTACTGTGTGCCTCTTTGAAAGTCTGGTCATTTGACACGGAGCAGCCTCGCCCAAATGCTCTACCTGTCCAGGCAGTTTATAATAAGCTCCTACAACGTCAAGTAAATTTCTCTTTCCTTTTGTTGTTACACAGAACCATCAGCAGAATTTCCATGCTCTGATTCATGAATTTCTGTGCAAGTGTATTTTCTACTTTACATACACTATAACATTTCCCCTCTTTTCTCTCCTCCTGAGTAAGCTCTAGCCTTCCAGGGCTACATGCCAACAAATTCCTGCCCTCTTTTGCTGACAGCTCCATGACAGAAGGAAGAGGAAGGAACAAGGGGTTCTGCTGGGTCTAATTCTTTACCAACAAGGAAAGAAGGTGACTAATACTTTGGGAGAAAGGGACTGTGGTACTCTGGAATTCAGGATATAAAGAGGAGGAGAAGAGTCAAGCTTGTCTGTGGATTCCAGAAAAGGAAATTGGGATGGCAGGCAGATGTCAGACCCCCCAAAGTATTTGCCTGCATATTACTTCTTTGCCTGTGTACTTTTTGGGGTCTGCCATTCTGGTGGGAGGAGGGCTACTTCGCTGGGGAATGTATTTGCCTTGCTATGCTCTGTCCTCTTTGAAACCTCTTCCCTTCGTGAGAAAGGAATGTGGCCTGAAAACATCTGCCTTATCTCCAGACCATTGGGACTATTGAGACCGTTGGGACTGTTGGGAAACGAAAGAGAAACCTTGAGATGGGCGCTAAATCATCAGGCTCTCAAAACAACCTGGCACCTATGGATTGGCTGGACAGTTAGACACTGGGGGGGGGGAGGAGTCCTCAATGGGCATTATGATGTAACCTTTCGTGTGCAAATTCTTCAGACCTTGCTTTGCTGTACAGCTATCACTAACTCTCAATAAAAGTTCCTTTTGAAACAATGCCTGTTTCAAGAGTTCTGCTTTCTTGGGAGACCTAGGTCAGTTCCAATGACTTGAGATTATTGAGGAAAAAGTATGGGAGATTTTGCAAAGGAATATTCTAAGGATGCAATCACAAACAACTCCAGCAGAAAGTCTATGGAAGACATTAAATTTGAATAGACCCAGGTCTCCCGTCCCAGGCAGGCTGCATCCCAGCAACTGAAGGGACCAGTGGAGAAGAACTCTGAATGTTTCAGGAATTTCAGGAGCCCGAGAACCAGAGGGCCCTCAGATGGGTCTCTCTGTTGGCTGTCATTCTCAAAAGACTTTTGAGCAGCTTATTGTTCTCGCCTGCCTCAGAGCAGGTGCCATCCTAGCCACAAGAGCAGGGCACAGGCTGGCCCATGAGAGCCCAGCTCGTCTTGTGGCAGCTTCCAGGAGAAGCCAGGATGCACCTCTCCAGAGGTGTATGGGATATGTAGTCCAGGAGGCTCCCAGGCCGCTCCCTCACCATGAACCCCCCCAAGTTTAACACTGACCTAAAGCAACAACATCCTGCAAGCGCCGGACTCAGGGAATGTGTGGAAGAAGCAAGTCAGGGTGAGAAAAGGGGGACTGTTTCTGGGGCCGAAGGATGAGGGCGGATGCAGGCTGCTTTTCTAATGCTTTTATCTTCAAGATACATTTTGTTCTGTCGAGGGAGGCCAAGGCAGAGCTTAAAGGTCTCTCCAAGTGAGCCAGGGCAGGCATGTCCGAGTCCCTCGGTGCTGTGGGAGAAGCAGGGGGACTCTGTCTCGAAGAGGATGCCCTTGAGGAAAGAAGCCGAGTGTGGTGAGAGGCCGGCAGGCAGCTGGCAGGCCAGAAAAGGCTCCCAGACAGCGGTTTCTCCCGATGCTCCCACACTGGAGGCTCCAGCATCTGCTGGGCACGCAGCTTCTTCAAATGTGGAAAAGGCAGGCCTGGGAAACCGAGATCTGCACTCACATCTCCCTAGTAGGACTGACTATACTGTGTACCAGAGACTGTTTTCCATTCACAGGAAAAGATTCTAAATCCACAGCCTATGTAGAAGGTCACATCACGTTAGCTGTAGAATTAAGGGCTCCCCCATAAAGCCCCAGAGGCTGAAGGGAGCCCCACTGAAAGTTTCCCCTGAATGGCTCCTCATCATAAAAAGGTCTCTGGCATTCAAGGCAATTGTTGCATATGGTGTGCAGTGGAGAGTAACGGACAGGTCCAGACCATTTCTGGGAGGCCATCGCACCCTTACTGGAAGTAGACCTTCTGCCCTCCGCCAAGGCTTTCCCAGAACTCTACTCCTACTCTACTCTACTTTCTACTCCTCTGATCAACCTCTTGATCCTCCTCTGAACCAGTTCCAGTTTCTCTCAATCCTTCTTTATGGGTTGGGGGACCCAGAGCTGGATTCCAAGTGGGGTCTGACTAATGCAGAACATGCCAGACGTGTTGGTGAAGAGGAGATTGAACAGGGAGCTACTTTCGTTTACCTGGAAGGGTGTCATTCCAGGGGCAGAGCAAGGAATAATGAAGTTAAGTTACATGAAGCCTAATTCCTTTGAATGGGTCATAAATCAAGAGTTCAGAGAAGAGCAACAAAAATGATTAGGGGCCTAGAAGCTAAATCATACAAAGAACGGTTGCAGGAATTGGGTTTGGCTAGTCTAGAGAAAAGAAGGACTAGAGAGGATGTGATAGCAGTGTTCCTGTAGTTGAGCAGCTGCCACAAAGAAGAGCGGGTCAACTTATTTTTCAAAGCACCAGAAGGCAGGACAAGAAGCAACGGATGGAAACTAACCAAGGAGAAAATTCTTAACAGTGGGAACAATCAACCAGTGGAATAAATTGCCTTTGGAAGTTGGGGGTGCCCCAACACTGGAGGCTTTAAAGAAGAGACTGGACAGCCATTTATCAGAAATAGCATAGGTCTCCTGCAAGAACAGGGGGTTGGACTAGATGACCTCCAAGGTCCCTTCCAACTCTGTTACTGTTAAATAAATTTAGAAGCAGCTGGCAAAGGAGCCCCTTCCAGGCAGACGGTCAGCTTCTCCTCGCCTGGGGCAGGGGGTGTCCAAGGAGAAGCCAGACAGCCACCTGTCTGGGAGGCTCACACTTGCCGCAGCAGCTTAAATGGCCCCTTTCATCAGTAATTTGTAAGCTATACTTTTATTGATGTGGTTTAAAATTACATACACATTTTCAAATTTATTAGATTATTCCACTGTCTACCAAAACCTCCTGGTAATTCATAATAAAAACATAAGAAGCAATTATGCTAGAACAATTGCAATCTCTCATAACGAAATTCCTGTTGAAAAAGATAAGCTCTAAAGGTCAATTCCACAGGAGCACATTCTGACGTGGGGCAGAAAACCTCAGCCTGAGTCACCTGCAGGAAGTCTAGGCAAAGTTCAGGTGGACCAGGAGGGGAAGGGGTCCTCTTCCAAGCCTTCTGGAGCTCTTTGTGTCTTTGTCTGAAACAGTTCGAGGGGCAAATGTGGTTCCTCCACAGGCCCACCTGCTTGAGGTCCCTGGACTAGACACAACCGTTAGGAGAGTCTCGCATGAAGCTGTTACCAGCAGGTGCTCCATTTTAAAGCCGCTTTCTTCCAAGAATGGACAGAGGAGACATGTTCACAGAGCCTCTTGGGAAGAGCGGTGGTTTCAAAACTGGAAAAGCAGAGAAAGGTCCACGCCTTGAAGGACACTTACACTACATAGCTGCTCTTTCTGAGGGAAAGTCGGAAGGATTCCATGATCCCAATATTTATTAGAGACAAATTTCCCTCCAGGAAATTCCAGACTTTTCTCGTGGAAACTTTCTCCTTCAAAAGATGGAAAATGTAAGAGAATCCTCTATCTTGGATCTGACAAGGCAACAGGGACATCATAAAACATATTTGGGGAAGTAGGAGTAGCAGGAACCTTGGATACTACTTAATATTACTTAATATTACTTCCTGTAATATTTCTGATCTTAAGGAAAACTGAACCTCTTTCTTGGGCTTCACCCAGGCTGATCTGAACAAACTCTGAGCAATGATGAAACACTGGCAAGAAAAGGAGCCAAGTAGACGGAGAGTTTCTTAACCAGGATATATTAATAGCACAATCACAAATAATTCCAAAGAGAAAACAAAATAAGGGAGAATGCTAGTCAATGTGGCTGCAGAAGAGATTAACAAACACTTTAAGATAACAAAGAAATGAATATACCAGCTTTTCAGGGAAGATGGCAAAAGGGTTATCAGGTAGCAAAAAAAAAAAAAAAAAAGGCTGCAAGTCTTATTCTGGTGCTTCTACTTTGTTCCTGGGTCTGGGACAACTTGCCACGGCCAACTTGCCCTGGAACAAATCGTTGTGGGATGATTCAACGCTGTATTAATTGTTTCATTCAGTTACTTTTATTTTTGGTGACTTCGTTTTCATCAAAATTATTACAGCTCTTGTATTTCTGGATTGACTTTCTTATTTTATTATTATATTGTCCACAGTTCTGTCAAAATTAATTTAACTTTTGTATTTGTTGACTTGTCCCAAGGTGAGTTGTCCTCTGGCGAAGGGTCCCATTCCGTTCCTGAAAGCCCAGCCAAATCTTCGTCTACCATTTCTGAGAATGAATTAAGTACTGGTAGTCCTTCATTTAGTGACAGTCTGAAGTTACAGCAGCACTGAAAAAATGGACTTAGGGTCGCTTTTCACCCTTATGCCCATTGCAGCATCCTCCCCCCCAGGATCACG